AACGGGAAACCACACCACTATGTTTCCCAAGAAGTCATGGCAATTCACAGATAATAAAGAAAAGGAATCTGTGGAGAAGGCAACGGGACACCACTCCACTATCTTTCCCAAGAAGTCATGGCAATTCACAGATAATAAAGAAAAGGAATCTGTGGAGAAGGAAACGGGACACCACTCCACTATCTTTCCCAAGAAGTCATGGCAATTCACAGATAATAAAGAAAAGGAATCTGTGGAGAAGGCAACGGGAAGCCACTCTACTATCTTTCCCAAGAAGTCATGGCAATTCACAGATAATAAAGAAAAGGAATCTGTGGAGAAGGCAACGGGAAGCCACTCTACTATCTTTCCCAAGAAGTCATGGCAATTCACAGATAATAAAGAAAAGGAATCTGTGGAGAAGGCAACGGGACACCACTCCACTATCTTTCCCAAGAAGTCATGGCAATTCACAGATAATAAAGAAAAGGAATCTGTGGAGAAGGCAACAGAAGCCCTCCACTATCTTTCCCAAGAAGTCATGGCAATTCACAGATAATAAAAAAGGAATCTGTGTAGAAGACAACAGAAACCACTCCACTATCTTTCCCGAGAAGTCATGGCTTTTCGTAGATAATAAAAGAAAAGGAATCTGTGGAGAAGGCAATGGGAAACCACTTAACTATCTTTCCCAGGAGTCATGGCAATTCACAGATAATAAAGAAAAAAAAATCTGTGGAGAAGGCAACAGAAGCCACTCCACTATCTTTCCCAAGAAGTCATGGCAATTCACAGATAATAAAAGAAAAGGAATCTGTGGAGAAGGCAATGGGAAACCACTCCACTATCTTTCCCAAGGAGTCATGGCAATTCACATAATAAAGAAAAGGAATCTGTGGAGAAGGCAACAGTAAATCACTCCGCTATCCTTCCCAAGAAGTCATGGCAATTCACAGATAATAAAGAAAAGGAATCTGTGGAGAAAGCAACGGGACACCACTCCACTATCTTTCCCAAGAAGTCATGGCAATTCACACATAATAAAAAAAAGGAATCTGTGGAGAAGGCAACAGTAAATCACTCCGCTATCTTTCCCAAGAAGTCATGGCAATTCACAGATAATAAAGAAAAGGAATCTGTGGAGAAGGCAACGGGAAACCACTCCACTATCTTTCCTGAGAAGTCATGGCAATTCACAGATAATAAAATAAAAGGAATCTGTGGAGTAGGCAACGGAAACCACTCCACTATCTTTCCCAAGAAGTCATGGCAATTCACAGATAATAAAGAAAAGGAATCTGTGGAGTAGGCAACGGAAATCACTCCACTATCTTTCCCAAGAAGTCATGGCATTTCACAGATAATAAAGAAAAGGAATCTGTGGAGAAGGCAACGGAACACAACTCCACTATCTTTCCCAAGAAGTCATGGCAATTCACAGATAATAAAGAAAAGGAATCTGTGGAGAAGGCAACAGGAAACCACTCCACTATCTTTCCCAAGAAGTCATGGCAATTCACAGATAATAAAGAAAAGGAATCTGTGGAGAAGGCAACGGGAAACAACTCCACTATCTTTCCCGAGAAGTCATGGCAATTCACAGATAATAAAGAAAAGGAATCTCTGGGTAGGCAACGGAAACCACACCACTATGTTTCCCAAGAAGTCATGGCAATTCACAGATAATAAAAGAAAAGGAATCTGTGGAGAAGGCAACAGGACACCACTCCACTATCTTTCCCAAGAAGTCATGGCAATTCACAGATAATAAAGAAAAGGAATCTGTGGAGAAGGAAACAGGACACCACTCCACTATCTTTCCCAAGAAGTCATGGCAATTCACAGATAATAAAGAAAAGGAATCTGTGGAGAAGGCAACGGGAAATCACTCCACTATCTTTCCCAAGAAGTCATGGCAATTCACAGATAATAAAGAAGAGGAATCTGTGGAGAAGGCAATGGGAAGCCACTCCACTATCTTTCCCAAGAAGTCATGGCAATTCACAGATAATAAAGAAAAGGAATCTGTGGAGAAGGCAATGGGAAGCCACTCCACTATCTTTCCCAAGGAGTCATGGCAATTCACACATAATAAAGAAAAGGAATCTGTGGAGAAGGCAACAGTAAATCACTCCGCTATCTTTCCCAAGAAGTCATGGCAATTCACAGATAATAAAGAAAAGGAATCTGTGGAGAAGGCAACGGGACACCACTCCACTATCTTTCCCAAGAAGTCATGGCAATTCACAGATAATAAAGAAAAGGAATCTGTGGAGAAGGCAACGGGAAACCACCCCACTATCTTTCCCAAGAAGTCATGGCAATTCACAGATAATAAAGAAAAGGAATCTGTGGAGAAGGCAACGGGACACCACTCCACTATATTTCCCAAGAAGTCATGGCAATTCACAGATAATAAAGAAAAGGAATCTGTGGAGAAGGCAACGGGAAGCCACTCCACTATCTTTCCCAAGAAGTCATGGCTTTTCATAGATAATAAAGAAAAGGAATCTGTGGAGAAGGCAACAGGAAACCACTCCACTATCTTTCCCAAGAAGTCATGGCTTTTCATAGATAATAAAGAAAAGGAATCTGGTGAGAAGGCAATGGGAAACCACTTAACTATCTTTCCCAAGGAGTCATGGCAATTCACACATAATAAAGAAAAGGAATCTGTGGAGAAGGCAACAGTAAATCACTCCGCTATCTTTCCCAAGAAGTCATGGCAATTCACAGATAATAAAGAAAAGGAATCTGTGGAGAAGGCAACGGGAAACCACTCTACTATCTTTCCAAAGAAGTCATGGCAATTCCACAATCTTTCCCCCAAATCATGGCCATTCCCAGATAATAAAGAAAGGATTCTCTAGAGAAGGCTGTGGGAAAACATTCCACTATATCTTCAAAGAAGTTGTGGCAATTCGCAGATAGTATATGAAAATCTCTGGAGAGTCATGATCGCCTAACTCCTGAAGGGTACAGTATTTTGCACAAAAAAAATAAAAAACAAAACAAAAAAAAACAAAACAAATGCTTGTCCCAGAGCCAAATTTTGCTGGTTAATTTGCTAGTTTAATTTCATTCCACCGGACTCTTTTATTGTAGCCTTGTGCCATATGGAGATATATTTATTAAACATCTAATGTATTTTCAAAGAAAATGACGTTGTTGCACTTAATGTTATTATCCTGTGCCGAGGTACATCGCCAGTACCTGTCAGAAGATTGGGACACCGAAACCCGAAGGCGAATAGGAATAGAGAAATATAACTTCCAGAAGCTAAGCAAAGGATTAAGAGAGAAAAGCATGATTGAATTCCTATGTATTATCAATCCTCCTCTATTGACGTAAAGGCTGGGCAATTTTTCTTACATATGAAGGTGAACCTTTAGATAACTGAAACGTGGTTCTACAGAAGGATGTTGAGAATAACATGAGCATGGGAACAACGAGTAAGTTTAAAATCGGAACAAGAAAGAGATTTAAAATAAGAAATATATAGTTGACATTTCTAAGCACATAAAGTGGAAAGTCGGCTAGGAGAATTTGATCCATTGATTTGTTTAACGGCGTATCAACTCCTTAATGTGTCATTTAATGCCGAAATTTTAAAAGTAATAATACTGATATTTGTCATTCTGCTTTCACAGTTGAATACATGGTAGATGATACTCAGCTTTTGTGCATATACATGTTTCTGTGGACATAATTATTAGAGGCAGTGATATATGTCTGTTTTATGATATATGTTATTCTGCTTTCGCAATTGAATCTATGGTAGATGATACTCAGCTTTTGTGCCTGTAGATGTTTGTGTTGGCATGATTACAAGAGAGAAGTGCGAGAAAAGAAACTGTTAGCATAGAACTTACGGTGATATATAACCAGCTCAGCTGTAAATTGATGATATATCGACGCCAGTCTAGTGTTTGCGCTTAAATAAAATTAAAAAAAAATTCTAGGTCCCAGAGCGAAGAACATGATTTATCTGTACAAATACAAAATGTGGCACAAGGCCAAAAAAGGTGAGTGGAGAAAAGGACGGTCTTGTTCTGTCTTAACATTAAACTTAGCTAGTCTCAAATACTGACCCAAACATACAACAATATTCCCTACACCAAAACAACGCATTCTTACTTACCACTCTTACTTCATCCGCCATAATACGTAAGAATCTCCATGAAGTCCTAACTAGTCCCCATATGTAGAATTCATTGTCTATGGGGGAGAGGAATAAAACAACAATTTAAAATCTAGCCCCAATGTGAAGAGCGATATTTATTTCTGCTACGCACAGAAAATGTATCTGAAGGCCAAAATGGGGAATGGGAAAAAGGACGGTCATATTCTGTCTTAACTTTAAACTTAGCTAGTCAGGCCAAGACGGGGTAGTGTGTTGCTTTCCCTGACTCTAGCATATAGCAGGCAGAAAAGGTACTCTAATTTGATAAAGACAAAATATTTCCTGTTTTCAGTTCCCGTTATAGGCATTAGTACACAACGCAAAGATTTGCCAGAATAATACACATTGTTCTTAAAAAGATGTTTTATACCGCTATTTTATAAAAGAAATTACATATGAATATATCACTATTTGTCCCACACAGAGAAATTATAACACATATGACTACAACAAGCAGTGTGAACGGTGAAAATCGAGAGGGTCTTACTTGTATTATTTACCGAAGGGTAAACTGTCAGGCCGTTGGTGATCTCTGTGTTCACTAACGGGACTGCGTGGTCTACATTTAGTTCTATTAATTGCTATAGGTAAACATGTCTTGAACTTTGAGTGGACTACATAGCAACTGGGGGTCGTCATATCTGAAGCTGGCGTCACTTATCGACCGTCAGGTAAACCTAGTGAATTAATTTTAGCCGAAGGGTGATAATTGCTTTTGCATTCGTATACCGTCATATCGTGGCGCTGAAAACTATTTTATATCTATTACTATAACTTCTGCAAACAATACGTCAATAGAATCACTATCTCCTCACCCCTAGCTACCCTCTGCTCGACAATGAAAAATAAAGCAACACTCTCATTTCCGCTCGTAGCATGCTCACTTCCACCACCGCAACGCAAAACAATAGCGAACGGAAACATTCTTTGCGATAAATGCTCACCTACCTTCCGATCAACATACCTACCGACAAACGATGCTATCTGCCCCCGCATTTTGAGAAACAAAGGTGTTGATGAAATTACGAAAACCGTACCAGTTTACGACCGTCGGGGAAAGAGAGAAAATGTATGTGAGTGGGAAGAAAATATGGTGGATGGTGCCTCTTCGCCAGCGGCCGCTTTTCTCTTCATTAACACTGATAAACGCTACAACAAATTTTCACAAATGCACAAAGGGAAAGAAAAGAAGAAAACAGGGCATTTTTAACTTCGGATTAGATGAGGTTTTCAAGAAAGTTAAAAGCTCTGTGCAAACAATGCATAAAACCAGTAGTGAAAGAAAGTCCATGGCTTTTCATGTCAGTGAATAGCAATAATTTACAAAAGGTTTGAAAGGTTCAGGATAACGTTGCCCGGATGTTAAAAGATATTTGAAATAAATATTGAGCTTTTATGACTATTTATTGGTTAGTGGGATTATTGGAACACTCTGTCAAGTTATTTCTACCTATTAATCTATCTATTTATCTATCTAAGCCCGTTCAAAAGTAAATTTGTTCTTATCTATCTATCTATCTATCTAAGCCCGTTCAAAAGTAAATTTGTTCTTATCTATCTAAGCCCGTTCAAAAGTAAATTTGTTCTTATCTATCTATCTATCTATCTATCTATCTATGTAAGCCCGTTCAAAAGTAAATTTGTTCTTATCTATCTATCTATCTATCTATCTATCTATCTATCTCAGTCTGTTCATATCTATCTATCTATCTCAGTCTGGAGATAAGGAAACAAATTTGAAAATCCTCTAAAAGATGTCTATCGCCAACCGCTGTAGGACTCGGCAAAAATGCCGTTAGTCTCGTCATTGCCATATTTATTTCTATTACTATTATACAAAACACAAATCTTATGTTGTTTATAAGTAAACGAATACCTACATCTTATCTATCTATCTATCTATCTATCTATGTTAGACTGTATCTACCGTAGACTTTTATATGATTTTACTGTCTTTATCTGATATATATCTTATTTATTTGTAAATATACATGTGTATATTTCTGAAATGAGGTATTCTAATTATTTACACTATATTGTTCGAACTGTTGTCCTCAGCTTCATTGCCATATTCTCAACGTTTCAACCGTTGTACGCTCCGGCCTTCTTCAGGTGATTGGAATTTCAAATTGAACCATTTATTTCGTTCACTGTGCTAGATTTTTCTAGTTCCATGTGCCATGCCTCTTCCGGATGTCGCAGTTAACTTCCTTTAACTCAACTCTCCAAGTACTTTTTTGTTCACCTCTACTGTAGCCAGGTACTGAAATCATAACTTTTGGCTAAAAGCGTTTGTTGAATTCAGTGACTCAACCTAATCACCTGAAGATGGCTGGAGTGTACAACGGCCGAAACGTTGTGAATATGATAATAAAGATAAAGACAGCAGTTCGAACAATGTAAATAATATAAATGTTTTCGAATTCCAAACATTTCTACATTAAGAAAATTTCATTCTTTAGAGAGTGATGGATAAGGGCTCGGAATGAAAAATCGGAGAGCCGAGTTCGATTCCCAGTCGAATCCATTACATACACTTACGTGCTATACCCCTAGGAAAGTTATGAATCCTCTTCTCCCCCAGCTATGGCTACACAGCAGGACAGACCGGGTTCTATAGCTTATTCTACCGCAGAAAGAAATGGCAACCTACTGCGGGAAAAAAATCTGCCTCGTCAGTCATGTATCGAAAGATACATGATCGCCTAAGCGTGTATTATGCATGGCACATAACTGACTGAAATTCACTTACGTGCTAATACCCTTGAGAAAGTTATGAATCGTTTTCTTCTACCCTCAGTTATGGTTAAGTAGCAGGACAGAGCGGGTTCTATAGCCTTGGTCTACCGCAGAAAGAAATGGCAACCGACTGTGAGAAAAAAATCTGCCTCGTCAGTCATGTATCGTCTAAGCGTGTATCAGGCGTGGCACATAACTGACTGACTAATTCTTTAGAATTCCCAAATGTTATATTAAGAAAATATTTTGAAATTTTCCACCAAACATTCGACTAATCCACGACAAGAGCTTTTCTTCTTTTCATTCTTTCCATCATGACTTCGACAAAATATTCTGTAAGTTAATATTTGGAGGCTTTTATTTTCACTTTTTCTAAAAGACTGCTCTTGCTTCTGGGCATTCCTTTGCCACAGTCTTATTGAATTCCTCGAAGAACATTTCTGTTCGATCCATTTATTATCTTTTATGTTGCAGTGGGATTTTGGCAAGAATCTAAAAGGCTTTGCTTTCACTTAGAAGTAACGAGGATTCTTCTGTAAGAGTTCAAATTAGAAAGTAGATACGCTCAATGCATTTTCTTAGACACACACATATATTTTGTGCTACTGAAGAAATGTAACAGACATTGAAACCATTCTAGAAAAGATACAACTTAGATGGGCTGGTCATATTGAATAGATAAGCATAAACTTCCAAAAAAGGTGCTGTATGGACAACGACCAAACTCCAAGCGTTCAGTTGGACGTCCACTCTTACGCTACAAAGATAAATTGAAAGACAACTTGAAACGTCTCAACTTTGATCAGAAAAACTGGGAAATCCAAGCATTAAACCGAAAATAGTGGCGGAAGATGTTTCATTAAGCTAAATAGTTTTCAGTTGACTGTAAACTGAAGCACCGGGATCTGATTCGTCAAGCTCTGAAGCAGAGACACCGTCAAAATCCTGCAAATTTCATCTGTCAGTGTGGCTTTGTCGCCCGCAGCAAGGCTGGGCTAGTATCACGCTTAAGAAAGAACAAATGAAATGTGTCTTTCCCTTACCTGAGTTTCTCCACAATAGCCCCTGTTAGCATGCGTAAGTGTAAAACGAAAGGCACTATCCACTGTTGACCCTCATTTATCGTTTACGAGAGTCCAATATATATATATATATAGTGTATTGGGGCAGCAGCTTATTATTTAAACATATATTATTAAATATAACAGACAATGAATGTTTATTATGTCTGATCATGAACCGTTCATATGATTGCTTTAATTAAATATGAGCCGAAAACTTAGATCAAGGACTAGCATAATAAAAAAAATATTCTATTGCTGGACAATTTTTTCACTCGAAATTAAAGCAAACATAAGAATATTAGAGCGGCTCATGATCAGACATAATAGGCATTCATTGTCTGTTATATTTACAATATATATATATATATATATATATATATATATATATATATATATATATATATATATTTCAATGATAATGATATGTCATTGTAAATTTAATATGTTATTACTTTTATTACCTGATGGTCCTCCTGTTTATATGGGTGTGTGTTGGTATAGGTACACTGTGTTGTTCATGTTGTGCCTGTGTATGTATGTGTGTGTGTGTTTTTGTACTGTTGGGTGTATATATATGTATATATATGTAAGTATTTATATATATATATATATATATATATATATA